CCGTGGCAGCCAATCTGGTGACATGCGTAGCACATGTCCCAACCAGCGTAATCTATGGAGATAGACCACCTGTTCCAGTGGACGACCACGATTACCTAAAACTCTACGCCTAACCTCAGCATTGCTCGTCCGGTTTCCTCACCAAACTCGTGCAAGCAGTACTGATGCAGAAAAAGGAACCTGTCATGTACTGCGCACTGGATAAATTGTTTGTGAATCAATTATCGGTTTGGTTTCGTACCACTTTATCCAGAGTTTCAAGCGTTAGGTTCGCCAACTTTGCTGTGATGAAAGCTTGATTTAGGCCGTTGTGCATTGCGCATTCGATTTGAGACCGAATGTAAACATGCATTCTCGTCTGTTCGTTGAGCTTGACAATTTGTTTGCAAATGTTTCATCACCAGCCTATGTTGACATCTCCAGTGTCTGCGATGTGGCTCTGTGAACATATTCAGTTCGCTTTCGAGCACAGAAAGCAGATCTTCACTCAAGTTGGGATCAAGGCTGGGTAAATTCGACCTTGAAATTCTCCATGATCTTGAAGGTGTTGTTAATCCTATCAGGAATTTATAATTTCTCATTAAATAAACCACTGAGGCTAATGAAATTTAGTATGACGGTGACCTGACTCATTACTGCACTGAGAAATCGAAAGGATGTTGCCTATGACCCTGACAAAGTAATTTATCTTTGAAAATCTGCCCCTGGGGATGCGAAATGCCATTCACCTCACTCTGAGTACTCTAATTCTAGTAAATTATGTAGCGTCACCAGGTTAGTTACTTGAATCTGTCGTGCCTCTGGTGGGCTGGGCGATTTCCAATTATATAATATTCCATAGCATTCACATCGAACGATCATCAATGTCTTACACCGTGGTTGAGTTTATGAACCCGTCAGTTGTCAAAACAGAAGAACGTTAGGCTGTTCAATGCCATCGGAGCTGGAACAAGGAAAATGTACAAATGTACAAAGACCTGGATACAAGAGTTCGCAATATTTGTGGGAAATGTCATCAATCACTGCGAGCACGTTCATGACTGTTGGGCCGACCCGCGTGGGTATAAGAGGAAAAATGAACGCGCAATTCCACGAAAGATCAAGGAACAAGATGACTCTCATGTACACCTTCAAATCAGATAGCAAACACGTGGGTTACAAGTCACATTAATTGCAGTTCTGAACAGGAAGTTGTGACTTTCAGCAATCAATTCAATTCAGTTTTAACAGCCCTAACGTAAGGGCAAGAGTATCTTCGTGTTGTGGAGCCCAAAGTGGCAACTCTATCATGATTCGCAGTGCCTTTTGAGCGGAGGGGGAAGGCGGAAAGGCCCATCTGATCACTCGAAAGAAATCGGAACGAGTTTCTCCTCCTTGATATTGCAAACTGGAAAACCTGTTTTTTTATAAACAAAAGCAACGCCCAGCTCCATAGAATGTGATTTCTACCCCGGACAAATCAAGCCAATGGACTAATTGGCTCAAAACCCAGACTCCCATCTGATTGATAACGCGCAACATTTTCAAGCGAGACAGATTTACGCTTCTGGGAAAGATAGTTCGCAATTTTAAAACAGCTATCCTACATGAGTGATACAACTTTTCAATACAAAATATAATCGAAATTGAACTTAGACGTTTATTCACACACTAATAATTATGATCGTTCTGTTCGGTAACAATTAACAATTCTCCTGCAGCGCTGTTTACAATAGTTTTCATTCTCAGAGCCACAGTTCTATCAAAAACGTATGTCAACCGGGGTCAAAATCGAATTCAACTTAGTTTCCTTTGTGTGGAAATCAGTTTTATCGTCCACATTCCTGGCTAGATTGGCTTAGCTAGTGAAAAGTTGAATATAGTCAAGGTTAGGAGAACGGCAATTCCTACGAAATACCAAGAAAATCAATTTCTCAGATAAGAGCGAACAAACTTCACATGAAATAAGATATGATTATTTTTTTTCAGAACGCATTTTAGGAACGCGATTCAAAGAAATTTGTCCTTCGATTTTCGTAAAGTAGTGATGCCGTCTCTGTTAAGCAGAATTCGATACGGTTTAAATTATTAACTGCAGTACAAAGCTTCTACGACATCGGGTACGATAACGCTCATATCAGGGAACTTTAAGAAAGACACCCAGGATATCGTCGCGGTTTAAAACTCGAATGGAAAACTGATTTCCTTAGTTGTATATACAGGTGTTTTTTTTCATTAAAAATGAAAAAGCTAAACGTTGATACAAAGCAACTGGAAAATATGAAGACATGTTTCAACCTATCACACTCGTATGAAGGTCTACCTCCGAGGAAATGGCCAAATTTTTATCCATAGATTGATATCAAACGGCTTATCCTACGACTTTTACTCCATCTTATAAATGGTCCTTCACTTCTGAGGATAAACCAGTCTGCACTTGTGTGCTGTTGACCCCAAAGGGAGGAAAATTAACAACAAAAAGTTTAAACATTCAATTCGGCTCACCGTGTTCAACGAGTCTTCTGTTTTGCACACCAAACACGCGTAGTCTTCTGCTGCACAAATATGAGTCAAACGATTCACAGTTCTGATACGTGTCTGGATAAGGCGGAGAAAAATACACACAAATCTCGAATCATACATTTCGTTTTGTCTGACCAAATTGATTTGATATGATTTTATGATTACGATCACTCGTGAAATTCAGGAGGTCAATGATTGTGACGCTTTTGGTTTAAAATGATTTTTCATAAAATTTTTTCTACCAAGTACACGTGAACAGTATAATCAACGTCCTGTTATCTATTTCAGTCAAACTGTTCTGAGAAATTATGGGTCATTGTGCAATAATTTTGTAATGGGTACTACGAGAGCTGAGCAAAATCGTTTCCGAATACACGAGGAGAAGATGACCGGGTAAGGAAAACTTGAACTGTATTCTATTGTGAATAGCGCTCAGTGATCGGAAATCGCACAGGATCACATATCATCTTCGAGAGCCCAGCTCACAAGTCATACTAGGGTGGCTGTATACTCAGACTGTAAGGATGGAACTCAGTCGATTTCACTGGATCTGGACGATGCTTTTCTACGACTACAAATGTGACTAAAAGCAGCAGAGTGATGATTGTTTGAGCGGTGAGTTTGGTGATGACGCCCCCTCAATAAGCACAGCGTTCTCAAATGTCAAGCGTGGAATGCATGAAATTCCGATACGACCCAGCAACAACGGCAGTGGAAGCCTTTATTGAACTACTCGAATGGTAGTTACCCATTTCGGCATAGTCGAGCTGTTTCACCAAATGATTTGAGCACATGCAATTGTGTGCATCAACGCTGGTGCAGAATACTTTAGGAAAATGTAACGCGTATTTTTGTGTAACAAATAAAACTTTTATGTATCCGTAAACCTTTGGCTTAGCCGTCCTATAAAATAGTTTATAGTTGTTTTAAGATTCTTCAATAAACGAAAAACACGAATCTATGGAGTGGGAATGGGGCTATATGCGCTGTGACTGCAACTACAGTATTTCCTACCATCTTGAATCTTGGAAGATCGTTGTACATCACCTGACAACAGGAAATCAGCCTGGCGCGATCACCCAAGATTCACTGGCATAGTTAAAATGGCGCCCTAGGGCACGTCTAAGTGTGATGCCAACATCACGATAATAATAATAGAAACCGAGGTATGGTGGATTGGGATATAGAACCAAGTGTAAAACAGGTGTGGGATATCCCACTGGAAGATAAAGCACTTAATAAATTAGACCTGTCAACACAGTTGAAGGCGTCTCTTTAATCCAAGAAACATTCTGAGAGCTTTCTTATTTTCATCGGGTGTTGATGGAAAAATAGTGGACCACAGAAGCTGGAGTGACGGTTCACAAATTGGTTAGGGTACTGCACATTAAGCTACGATGACATTCCTTGAAGAAGTAACTTTTCGAAAAGTTTCAACACAACAGACGTTCAGCTTCAATTTTCATAATCAGAACCCTTGCATTTTGATACCCCGATTTTTGGTTTATATCTTTTGGCTGTCCATTTAGATAAAAAGGAAAATGATGGTTGAAATATTGAAAGCAAGGTCAAAGTGAAGTGAAATGAAGACAGACGTGAATGCAATGGGACGGAATTTTGAGATTCCTCTTCTAGGCACCGGAGTGGATGGAGACAGATTTCCATTGAACAGGTATACTCACGTTTTCCAAACACTGGTTAAGCAAAGCCGTGAGCACCGGTGAAATTTTATAGGCGCACTCCTTAATGATAGTTGCCTCTAACCTGTCGGGACCGGATGACTTATTGGATCTGAGAATCAGCAACTCCTTTAGAATGTCATTTTGTTGAATAGTGAAGGGTTCTGTATCACTGAGGTCGGTGCTTACGATGGCAATGGGGGGGCCAGTATCTCTGCTACTGGCTCCTTTAGTTCTTTTAGCTCTGCTATTCAGCCTTTTCAAGATACGATTGGGGATTGACTACTTGATTGCTTGATGGTGTTCCAGGTTTTTCGGCAGGTTTTCTACAGAACAGTTGAGTGGATTGCCTGAAGATCTGCAATATTCTCGTCAACCGAGACAATATCACCAATAAGTGACCGTTTGTGTGACTCAATCTTGTCTGATGCAACACACATCAGTTCAACCAAATATTCTCTCGCATTATTTCCATTTTCTGTCACCTGCAATAGAGTTAAACTTGTATATACTCGCACCACAGCATTTCACAATTCCTTTTCACGTTATCTTTCTCGTTTATTAATTTCCAGGGAACGAACTTATACACAACATCTGTTAAGTTTTCATGCTGCAATTTTTCACTATTACTACGCGTTCTCACTCCTCATTTTGTTTACTTACCAAATATCATATATTTAGATCCATTTTATTCGCATTTACGCCGAAGCAAAAGTGATAACATTTTTCACTGAAAACGCCATCCAAAAGGAACGAACAAAGTGCATTCTTTACTCCACTTCCGAAAGCGTGTATTAGAGGAAAGCAAGTTTTAAATATATAAATGTAACTCAAAAGCCAATCAGCACCCAGGTGATCCCCTAACCGACCAAATCACCGTATCAATCGGATTTGCTTTTAACTGCAACATTCTATGTTACTACCGAATGTTTACTTTCCGACGTTTCTTTAAAATCAGTGACAGGACAACAAAGACGAACAAAATTCCTGAAGTAAGCCCTTAAGTAGTAGTGTAACGACCTTGTCAACTTGCCATTCCGTTTGAGTGTGAGCCGTGTTCATGTCTCACTGGACCTTCTGGTTCATGGTATCATAAATTTCCTCTCTTTCAGGCCCAGTCAACCTTCTCTCCACGGAGAACCTCCTGTCTATCAATGACGGTTCCAGCCCACATCTAGACTCGGCCCACTTGCGGTTGTCTGGTGTATTCGTTCACGGGGGACATCTTGCCGCACACACGAGCCAAGCATCTCGCAGTAGGAATTGTTGTTTGATAAACTGTGTCACAGTGAATATATTTGTACCCGTTTTAACTCTGTGATAATTCTGGCTCAAACTCAGCTTGAAAGCACAATTTAATTTATCACAATTAAGGCACACACCCCATTCTCATAGTGACAATTCAAACCGTGCTTTGAGGCAAGTTCATTGGTTAGAATGCTTAAATGCTGTATTTCTCGGACGTATCAGTCCGTAGAATCAAAAAGACTTCCCTCTTGGTATCGAGGGTAACAGGAAAGTACGTCAGCCATTTTTATATCCACAAACAATAAAGACTTACTTGTTGTTTTTTCGTATTCCAGAATACGACAAATGTTTCCGGTGAACCGGCCCGCGTATAGCTGTAGACGATTGTATTTGCTTTGTCACAATAAGCCCATTTGTAATTTGGTCGAAGATTGGCAAAATAGATGTAGGAGTCCACAGCCATGGCCAACCGTAGAGATCCATTGCCTTCCCACGCGCAAGCGGTCAAACTTTTCCCCGGTAAATACAACGAGCGTAAATGCTATCGTGAGTTCAGAAAGTAACAAACGGGGTCTCGTTAAATGTTTCATATTCTTTCAAGCGAGTATTTCCGTTTGATTTCAGTTTTTACAACCCATAACTATGCACTTTCTTGTGCCGGTTTTTGTTGTCCATTTGGATAAGCAGCAGAATGAAGATTGGGGTGTTGAGGTCAGTGTGAAAGGAAAGATAAAGAATTCATACAGACTGAGGTTACAACGGTAATGAGTGGATGCACCAGTACCATTGTTTACGACACAGACATATCACTTAGTTTCTCTAATCACCGGTTACCATGATTTTGGGGTCCCCATCTGGCGATCTTAACGGGACCTATGTGACCCAATCTCCTGGTTAGGGTTTTCACACCCTCATACCATGTCTTAGTTGGACCATTCTTGACCTTTTTCCAACCAGCTTCCGGCTGATGAATCTTTGACCGCATTTTGCGCATCCACAACAACTCTTCAACGTACATGCATACAACGAGTTGTATATGGATTACTGGACAAATTTTCCCTGGTTTCGCGGTTCCTGTCGCTCGACAGGTATGCATATCCGGTAATCTTTTGTCTGATCATTCTTATACTTGAACTCCCGATGTGAATTAGGCAACGCAAATCTGTGGATGAGGTTGGATACATCTAACCGAAAAAACTCAATACAGAAGCATTGTAATACTTGTTTGAGACTCGGTCGTCTCGAATCAATTCCTGGAGCTGAAAATAACATTTGTTTTGTCCAACATTTGCGTGATAACAAATAAATCTCACATGCACAGGAACTGCCTCATAACGACAAATATCGACCAAAATTACCAAACAGAGGAACACAGTTTTGTGATTCGTGGATGGATGTGCACAATCGAGTGCAGACTTACATCTCCAAGTGCATTGTAGAACTGAACCACATTCACATCCCTTTCTGTAGCTTTACCTAGTCCCGAGCCTGAAAGGATGTGTCTCTTTTGCGAGCCGGCAATCGCTAACAACGATCCGTTCTCATTCCATGCGGCACAACTGATTTCGATCCCTGTGTCTAGTAAGATCGGATCTAGACACACATAGAGAGGTTTGTCAGTGTTATTATCTCACGAAAAACAATCGAAGACAAACGAAGATTAAACGACTGATGATCAATCAGTAAACGGAAAATGGGGACAACCGTGTGGGTTGTTGAGTGGAACTAACAGGAGAAGAAGAAATTAATATATTTCGAAAAATATTTTAGTGAATAGTGTGTTTACTAAAAATCATACGGCTAATCACAAGGAGAAAATCATACAAATTTCCAGTTCGGTAGGATGTTTGGGATCAGCATTTGACAAGTAGGTAGACTGATTTGTGGCCTGGGACATCTGGCAGTGTTTCGCTAACTTGAAACTTACGGATACATAGCGTTGGAACTCAGAAGAGTTAGAAATACAACATAGAAATATATTATCAAGTCACCTGAGACTCACAACTATCAGATTACTAGGTTATATTGAGAAAACAGATCAGTGGAAATATTTGTGATAACCAACAAAGAGCACTGGACAGATGTTTCGTCCTGTTTCGAATTCGTCAGTAACGCGCGTACCTTGTGCGTGTCCCTGTTAGGACTCGAACCGCGAACATTCATGTCGGGACTTCATATCCTTACAACTGAGCTACACGGTCGAATGGTTCAAACAATTTAGATGGTGAATGTTTGAATTAGCCCGTTCGGTTTTTCACAGGCACCAGGCACTGGTGATGATGTTGGATGTGGGTTTCACTCCTTATCAGTAGTGCATATCCGCCGTTCTGTTCGGGATTGAAACTCCGAACCAATCTCATGGAAGACGTTTGTGTTACCACGGTGCCAACCAGCTCATGCCAGAGTTGCACAGAATTGTCAATTCATGTTTTTTTTCAGGTGTCTTCTTCAGAAATAGTCAATCAGCTTAATTTGACCCGGAATCAACTAAGGGAGACACAACTATCTGTTAACTCCAATCCAAAGTCTCCTACCAAATCAAGTCTTCCATACAGGTTACGGGCTAGCTGGTCACAAACCTACTAGGCTGGGCTAATAATCCTCATTAAACTCCCAGTTACTTGTGAGTAACAATTATCCCACAACACTACTCACAAGTAACTGGTGGTTTAAGCGCAACTGAGTTATATCTCACGTGTGGTTTTGATGCTTGGAATATTTGTGCTCCCCCCCCATTTGCTATTCTCTTATGAACGTGACACATCAGTCTATGCATGGGAAACAATCAACTACATTACCATCTTATGTCGGTCCTAATCGGACTGACGCCAAAATAGACTCACCCGAGTCATCCTGATTCCGCATCAGTTGACACCTTCCGATATCATAGCACACAGCCAGTGTGGAACAGTTGGGCTCCACGTATCCCCGTTCCCCGCGATACCAGTGTAGTGCAGTCAGTCGAACTGCACCGTGAATGTTGTTCAAACAATAAATTGGCACTTTGGACTGTAAAAGATTGCAACGGGATCATAGAGAAGTAACTCATCAATCACATCAGCACCATATTTTCGTATACCATTTGGTTTGTACTTTGAGTGATCGAATCAACCCACTTGTTACCGGAAATAATGTGGAATGATTGTAGCTCGGGATGCGGATGTTGGTGTTGGTGAGTTCTCCGAGATGGAAGTGTTGTTTGCAGACGCTTCGTAGCCAAGCTAGGCAATATCATCAGTGGCTGTTTACATCCCTTTAATCCTATTGATCAACAGAAACCGTTTGCTGTGATTTGATTGACTGTTTCCTCGTCATGGTGACCATATTTTTTCACATTGGTCGACTGGCTTTCCTAGACCAACCGAAAACCGATTTTGAATCGGTTCCAAACTGGTTAGAACTGGTTTTGGACCGGTTCTAGCTGGGGCAGCCTCAGGTTACCAGTGTTTCATTAGATAGTGATAGATGGGTTCCAGTTCTATATGCTTATTTATACTGTCCGATCTGGAGTGCCAGGCTTCGATGAATTCCCGTATTGACTTGGTGGTTCCTCTTCCGATTATTCTTGCGTTGTCCAGTTCGAAGACGTGATTCTCAGCATCCATGTGGATTGAGATTTATCACTTCTCCTCGTATCGTTTGACTGCCAGTGTGCGTTCGTGTAGCGGTGTTTTGAGCTTTCTACTGGTTTGTCCTACGTAGTATTTGTCGCAGTTTCGGCACCTCAATTTGTATACAAAATTTGAAGAATCTTCCTTTGTCAGTTGATACTTTGGTCTTGATAGAATGATCCTCACTTCCGCCGTTGTTTGATGTGTAAACCAAATTTCTGATGGTTGTACTGATCCGGAATAACGTCTTCGAACTGGACAACGCAAGAATAATCGGAAGAGGAACCACCAAGTCAATACGGGAAT